AAAGCCTCTGGGCAGCAGCTGGGCGGGCGGCAGAGGCGGATGCTGTTCGGCAGCATCGGGCCACGGCTCTGCTGCGCTTAGGAAAACGAGCTGAAACATTTGTCTTTGGGCTGTGTCCGAAAAAAAAGGCTTTGGCAGGAGGCGTTCCTCGCGCGCCTGCTCCGCTGGGGCTGGTTACGCCAGCCAGTGCTGCCGTCACCCAGAATTCCTAGGTTAAAGCCTGGCTTGTTCCCTTCTCCCCACCGGAGCAGCTCCGCTGGTTCCGAGACCGAGTCCAGGTGGGAGCACGTGGGCTGGAGTACTTTGCCATCCTCGTCTTTGAGGCAGGGACATCTGGGGGTGGTGGGGGCTGGGGCCTGCTCCCTGGGCCCTTGCCCAGGAGGATGCAGGGTCACCAGGACCAAACTACCCTGTTTTCCCTCTGCTCCAGCCCTGAGAAGTGGCGGTGCCCTCCCATTCCCGGCAGGACACGGGGAGCCCATGGGGCTGCCATTGGGATCTGGATGCTGTAGGGAGGCGAAAATCAGCCGTTGCTGCCCACAGCACGTGGAGGTTCCAAAGCGCTGGGAAAGCCTTGGCTCGCAGCTTGGCAGGGCTGGGAAAGCCGATCAAAACTCGGCAACTTCAGCAACGTGCCGTTGGCATTCGTCCCCACAACCAAACCGCTCGAACCACCCCCAGGGCTCCCGTCAATCCTGACGCTTGGAAGCGTCGCCGTCAGCACGCCTCCGTGCCCGGCGGGTTCGTGGTTTGCACCGCGGGAGCAGCGTTTCCCATCGTTTGGAAATAATTTTCCATCATTATCAGATCACACGGGATCCTTCTGACTTGCTTGGCCCCCCGCCGGCAGCCGTGGCCCCCCGCACCGCATCAGCGTGCCTATTGTTGGGTCGCTGGTTAAGCCGAGCGCGCCCGGGCCCCGGTGAAAGTCCTTTATGGAAGGAGGATCTTGATAAGAGGCTCCTTATCTGCTCTGTCCCGGCTGCGCGCGGGCGGTTGAAAAGTAAATAACACGGACAAACAGTCGGGGATGTACGGGCAGGGGAGAAGATTTCCAACGCCGGTTGGAATCCGTGACGGCACGGATCGGTGCGGTGAGAGGGGCTTCCAGCGCGGGCAGAGCAGGCGTGCCTGCAGAGCGGGGCCCCTGCTCTCAGTAGGATTTTAGTTATCGAGTAGTTCAAATTCGGGGTCAACGCTTCCTTTCCTCTTCATCCTGCCAGGCGAAGTTGTGGCTCTGGATGTTGGTGCCGTGGGAGATCCGCGGGTCTGAGCCCCGTGGGAGGCAGGGTGGGCTGCGGAGCCCCCTCGGGCTGCTCAAACACCTCCGTTTCACCCTGCCGGGAGCCTGGAAAAGCATAAAACTTGCCATTTGTGTCAAGCCAGGCCAGCGTGGACCCTCCTGCCCCAATCCCGGTGGGAGAAGCCGTGCGGGTGCCCACAGCCCTCGCCGGCGGCTGCTGAGAGGAGCCACCGGTTCGTCCCCTCCACAGGGTCACCCACTCCTTTTTGTGCGCGGGTGCCCACAGCCCTCGCTGGCGGCTGCTGAGAGGTGCCACCGGTTCGTCCCCTCCAAAGTGTCACCCACTCCGTTGTTGGCAGCTCTGGTGGGTTTCAGCCCAGGAGTTCCACGGCAGCTCTGAAATAATGATCGTGTTCATCTGGAAACGCCTTCCGAGGCGTCTAATTCCATAAAGGGCTTTCATGGGAGATTTTGGAGCGAGGAGCGATCAGCTTTCCCATTGCCTGCGGAGACCAGAATCTGTCTTTTTCGGGATGCATTTAAATCCAAAGGAACAAAACACCTGTCCAGCA